AAAGATAATGCAGCTTCTGCCAATATCTCTTGGGCCACTGGCCCTTGGAACCCAGCCATAATACTGTGAGGAAGCCCAGGCTGCATGGAGAGTGCCTGGCCTTCAGCCCTAGCTGAGCTCCCAGCTGAAAGCCAACAATAACTTGCCAGCCAGCTAGGCTGTTAAGCCATCCTGAAGGTAGATTATTCAGCCCCTAGTCAAACTGCCACAGTTGATTCAACATTGAGCAGAATCAACCATCTTAGCTTTATACAAATTGCAATATTGTAAACAAAGTAAATACTTGCCATTGTTTTAAGATATTAAGTTTCAGGTATGCAGAGATGGTTTGGTATGCAGAGATGGACAACTAGAATACCTTGCTTACTTAAAAGAAGGCTAAAATAGCATCTAGCCCCCTATTTGATGCAGACACTTCTTTCTAGCAGGTTACCGTTTAACCTCTGAACATTCTGACTAATGTGGAGGTCAATTTCTCACAAAGCCACCCTTTCCACTGATGAACAACTTTGGGAATTATAATCTGCTTAAAGTTTGTTCAAGTTCTTTCCTTGGATATGATCATTACTGTCTAACCTCTCTAGTTCATGGGGAGAAATTAATCAAATAGCTAAAGATTCTACAGTTAAACAGTTCTGTAGTATAAAATTATTTGGATTGCCAATCTGGTTCAAAGGAGGAACAGGGAAAGGACAGGCCTTTGCCATATTAAATAGTGGAGAAATATTTATAACTGTCCCACTTTATAGATGAGGAACCTGAAGTGCACAAATTGGTTGCTTTAACAAAAGTTACACAATAGAAACTTGAATTTAAAAAAATTTGTTTAGTATTATTTCTATTAAACATGAATCAAATGTAACAAATACAAGATGTGTTGTTCATACCCAACTACAGTTTTCAAATTTATGTCATTATTGTTTAGATACATAATCTTCATTTCCTCTTATTTAGGAGGAACATTGGTATGAATAACTGGGAAATGAAAAATAATTTTCTGTATCATCTTCACCTGATTTTCACTTAAATACTCCCTGTCTTAACTCCAAAAAAAAAAAAAAAAAAAAAAAAAAAAAAAAAAACAAGTAATTTCCTGGAGGGCTTGGATGGGTATTATAATTCTGGATCTCCCTTGGTGTTTGAATACACATATTTTGAATACTTTGCCTAACTGGAAGATAGCATGTGGATAACAAAGATAAAAGCATTTCTTTCCAATTATTTATGTACAGATATTGTAATCCAAATATATTTCTTATCATGTCAGTGCAGTAACTGTAAACTTTTTTTCAAAGTCAGCAGCAATAGAAAATGAATTTCTTCCACTGTTGACTACAGTATGTCAGTTGCCATGACAACACTTACTCCCCAAACATTCTTTCTAATTGAGACAATTTCTTCTTACTTCAGTCCCTGAAGACTGACCCAATTACCCAACTCAAAACCCCAAGGGTGCCCCTCAATAAAGGTACTCTGGTTACACAACCTAAGGAAAATTTAAACACCACTTTCTAAGTTGCAAGGAAACTTCAGGGAACTCATTTTGGTTTTATACATAAAATCATAGAAGCTGAATGGCAATTGATATGACTTTAAAAACATATAAGCTATATTAAAATATAGCAGAATCAACCATCTTAGCTTTATACAAATTGCAACATTGTGAACAAAGTAAATACTTGCCATTGTTTTACATTATGGAAACCTAAACTTTTAACACAAACCATTTCTGTTAATATAATGCAGTATATCTCAGTTATGTTCTCTAGGCTGTATTTGCATTCTGTTCCTTCTAAGGTATGATTAAACTCTTCTAGGAGCAGGGCATGATGGTGTAGTCCCGTAATCCCAGCATCTTGGGAGGCTGAGACAATAGGATCATGAGTTCAAAGCCAACCTCAGCAACTTAGTAAAGCCCTAAGCAACTCAGCAAGACTCTGTCTTTAAATAAAATATAAACAAGGGCTGGGGATGTGGCTCAGTAGTTAAGTACCCCTGGGTTCAAGCCCCAATAGCCCCTCCCCCAAAATCTAGGAGCAAACAAGACCATGGTCACTGAAAACATCATTGGACTAATACAGAACATTTATACAGTAGTCCAAATCAAGCTCACAGCAAGCAAGAAACTAGAAATATATTTAAAATCATATAAAACTTAAAACTATGGTAAATGAGGCACTATAGAGAGATTCCTAGTTATTCCAAAAGAACAACAACAACAACAAATTCCAGAAAGAAAAAGCAGTGTTAAAAATGTGGTGTCTCCATTGTTTCAAAATGTAAGCTAATATTTCTCTTTCTTCAATGGTCCAAAGACTTTTAAACTGAGTTGTTTGGGGAATATAATGCTCATTTAGTTAGAAAAATCTTGATTAATTGAGTTGATCAAGATTTTAACTTATTCAATGTCAGCTTACCAATACAACTTACTTTCAGTCACTTATGGTAGACCAGCCTTGAAGCCATTGTGCAGTCTAGAATATTGTATGGCTGAGTGTACACTCTCCTTTAAGGAGGAAATAAGGTAAAAGCAATTAGCTGAGGTGTTCTCTATGTGATTATGTTGATTCCTTTGTTGGTATGTGAAATTTTATAGCCCTTTCAATCAAATGAGAAAAAATAATTTGTATATTCTAACTTTTTTTTTAGTTTAAATAAACAAGTTACCCTTACTACTGTTGAATTTCCTCCAAAAGTATAAATCATTCTATAATGACTGTATCTATTATAGTATGTTACAGTAGATACATGTGTCCTGAAGTGTTCTATATCTGCTAGGATAACCTAGAAGCAGCACTTTTTAAATGGCAAACTAAATCCAATGAAAATAAACTCTCATGATAAGCCTATTTTTCCATTATTGACTTTTTCAAGTATTTACATAAATAGCTGCTAAGTATTGTGAAAAAAAAAAAAAAAGATCTTGTATTGGGGCTGGGGACATAGCTCGGTAGTAGAGTGCTTGCCTAGCATGCACAAGGCCCAGGGTTTCACCCTCAGCACTGCAAAAAGTAAAATAAAAATTTAAACTTTTTTTAAAAAATATTTTTTAGTTGTAGTTGGACACAATATCTTTATTTATTTGTTTGTTTGTTTATGTGATGCTGAGGATTGAACCCAGCATCTCACATGTGCTTGGCAAGTGCTCTGCCACTGAGCTATAACCCCAGCCCCTAAACTTTTAATACACATACAGAAGTATGAGCTTATTTATACATATCAGTAATATCTATACAACTGTAGTATCTAGTAATGTTCTCAAAAAATGTTCCCTGTTTATAAGTAACAGTTTGCTACATATGGTGTCCCCTGTTCTATTTTTCAATGATTTTACTTAGCCAAAGAGCAAAAGAAGAAAAATCACAGAACGCATCCACTGATCTAAAAGAGGGATTAATTGGAAAGATCCCAATTAAGCTGAATGAAATGTCAATAAAGGTTAACTGTAGCACAATTTATTGTAAAACAATGAATCAGAGGCAAACATAGGCTAAAACTAAACTTTTGTTTTGAAATCATAGGCTAAAACTAAAGTTTAGCCTATGATTTCAAAACAAAAAGCTAAAATAAAAATTAAAAAACACAACTTTCTCTGTGGCAGACAGTTCAAGTTTAAACAGCATTGTTAGAAATCCTAGATCTGAGGAAAATGAATCTTTCAAAAAACGCTCACCAAATAACTTTAAAAGACAGGTTCTAGCCAAGTGCAGGAGGCTGAAGTAGAAGGATCACAAGTTTGAAGCTGGCATCAGCAATTTAGCCAGGCCCTAAGCAATTTAACAAGACCCTGTCTCAAAATAAAAAATACAAAAGGCTGAGGATGTAACTCAGTCATAAAGCGCACAAGTTCAATCCCTAGTACCAAAAGAAAAGAAAAAAAAGATAGGTGCAATCTCCTTGTACAATAGAAAACACAGCTTTCATACATGATAAAATGCCACCATGAAGTATGAATAAGAGAAAACAAATGTATCACATGGTGCAAGAAGGGTCTAAGAACCAGAGGCAGAAAGATGGGGCTGAGAATAATGAAAAAAGCTTCTAATTTATTAAATGTAACACTTGGAGAATCTACATGCCTAAATTCTGCTGGGAATTGGTGATTGGGCAGGAAGGTTTATGACTGAATCAAACCATTAGTAAGAAACTTACTATAAAGTATTTTGGGGGTAAAGATATGTTGCACTAGGTAAGAGTTAACTGTTCTTACACTCATTAAAGACAATCTCATTTTGTTTGGAAGAGAATAATTAAGTCTATCAAAGTTACTAGGCATAAATGAAGAACTATGTAAAAAGAGGAACCATTAAGAAATGGATGAGTAAGTGTGTTTGTGCAAGACTAGGGGATATCTTCAAAATAAGAATAAGGGTGTTTTCATTCACATAAAGCAATAATAAATATTGCCTAGTTCATACCAATTACTTTCACTTTACAATCTTAACACGCATTCAAGACTTTTGATTTTCATTATCCCTTTCAGCCAACTGGAAAAGGAGGGAGAGGGAAGCTGTACATTATAACAGTACACTTAGTAACTAAGAAAATGCAGCAGTGGAATATGTCATGCGGCACCAAAGAGATTTGCCAGGGAGTGCAGACAAAAGAGAAACAGCCACAGAACATAAGCCGCGGAAGAGATGAGAATCAGTCCCATATGTAATTCGACGGTTGGACCAAACCCCGCTCAGCGCGGCTGATGAAATGAGGTGATTTGCGATTCAGCGCATTCTTGGCTCCTTCCCTGAGTCTATCCTCGAACGGGAAGTAGGCGCAAGTCAGGGAGCAAAACCGAGGCAAAGCCCCCGAGGGTACATCTACCTGGACAACGAACTTGAAGGCCCCTTTCACAGCTCTTTGGGACGCTTTCCCAAAGTCTTGCACCCTGACTTCAGCTACCCATATCGTTGAGTCGGCTTCCCTAGACCTTCCCGGCTATAAGGGCCACTTGCCGGGCGGCTCTAAAGGACTGAGACCAGGGGTTGAAATACTTTCATTACCTTTTCGCGCTGGTCCCAGCTGTACTGCTTGGGCTGCTCCTCCTCACTCTCGGGCCGCGACTCCTCAGCCTTCCGCCTCTTAGAGAAGTAGCAGCCCATGGTCCTGGCCTGCGGGTCTCACCAGCCAACCAACTAGCCCGGGCACCTCCTGGAGTGTGATGTGAACCCTGGGCACTCTGGCCCCGCGGCTCTCTGGACACCGACCCGCGGAGCCGCCCAGCTGCCCGCAGCCCCGGTTCACCGCCAGGCCCAACACCCCTTCTTCTTTTCCCCTTAGTCGCCCTGACGACCCACTGTAGCCAATGACCGCTCAGAGCCTGTTGAGCCAATCAAAGCCCCGTGAACAGTTCTGTGCGGCCTATAAACAGAGACCAACGTACTCACCAATCCAAGCCTGGCTCCAGCGTAAGCCCTCAGCGGCGGAGCAGCCCAGCTCTGGAGAACGCACAGCGGCCCCTCCCCTAGTTCTGTCCCGTCCCACCCCTCAGCCCCGCCCCACCCCTCAGCCCCGCCCCTCATGGAACTCAGCGGGCCCCCTTAGCTGGTGGGAGGTGGGACTCGGCATCCGGGTCTTTTTGCCCAAATTCTAGGCGCGGGATGGATGCTTAGTCGAATATTACACTTGTTTTATCATGCAAGTTGTGAGGGAACAGGAACCTCTGCTCAAACAGGAAGACCCTGAAATTTATAGTCCTTACTCCTCCCTTTATTAACCCTCCCCCTAGCCCCACACATTGCCTTGCCACTGTCGCCCATTAGGAACCTTCCTCCACAACTCCCCCTGACCTTCTATGCTTTCTTAAAACTTTCACATTTGCTCAAAACTTGTGCAAGTACTCAGAAAAATAATTGTGATGTCTCTTTATTAGAATTATGAATTAAAGACCAAATGGCATGTCTAAAATGAGCATGTACCATTAAATCCTCCAGCCCGGTCCAACTCCTTGCTCAATAAAATGCTCTGGCATGTCTGCAATCCCAAGTACTTGAGAGACTGAAACAGAACGCTTGAGCCCAGAAGTTAAAGGCCATTCTGGGTAACACAGCAAGACTCCCATCTCAAAAAAAAAAAAAAAGGATAAATAAAGCATTTTGTTGAATGAACACATAAGTAGATTTTTAAAATTCACATATGCCAATTATTAACATTAATGATACTTGTGTAGAATTTTATGAAAACCCATATGTATAGCTTATGTAAGAGAAAAAATAAGTTGATTTCTCTGAGATACAGTATTTTGACATCTTGGTAGGACATCAAATGCATATTGATTCAGGTTCAAATTTGGTTATCTTTTACTTTCCCACTTATTCACATCTTGTAAGTATCCTAACTGAGCCTCTGACTTAACTTGAACATTAACAATGTTCCCCTTTTCACTTCCTGTCCTTATTGCACAATCAGGAAGAAAAAGTACAGTGCTGAAGTATTAGAAATTACTGCAAATTTACATTGCATATCTTAGGCAATAGTCTTTTCTCAGTGCAATTTTTTCATCTTCAGAATGAGATGAAAGTCCTATGTGAGAATGTTTTTGGATTAGATTCTCATTAGACACTTTATATTTACAGACTTTTAAAACTGTGATCACCACCATAGTGCAGCAGAGGAAGCAAAGGACCAGAGAGAGAAAGGGATAAATATGGGGTCATAATAGGAGTGATTGAGCAGGTACTGGATAAATCCAGAGCATGTGTTTTCTAGTGCCTCTTCCTGCCTTAAATTTGTTCCTCCTTCATTGATTGGAAATAAAGAAGTAAAGAAGCATCTGCTTGGGCCTGATGCCTGTAGGATTTCCTTCCCACAGTTATAATGTTCCTTTTCATGCCCAAACAGCATGACAAAACTAGTTTTAGGGAAACAAACTCTAAAACTCTCTTTTGAAATATTCATTAATGATAAACCAGAAACAAAGCCAGTATAAAACAGTGGTCTTTTCAGAGACCCTTAAATAAAAGTGAAGATAAAGTCCCTGTTTTGTTAATTCCCATCAAATCATCACCCAAACCCAAAATAAAATAAAATAAAGTTACATTTTAAAAACTGGGGACTAAAAAGTCAGTAAGTAGAGCTAGGGCTAGTGTTCTCTCATTCTGTCTCTCACTCTTAAAATTCTTTTCTCTCTCTTTTTCTCTCTCCCCATGAATTCACATCACTACTTTTTGCAAACAAGCTCTCTACATGCTTATCAAAATATACAGGCTGCCAACAGTTCTCGGGCCTTGATCCCTCCTGGCCTTTCTCTCCAACTGAATGCTACACTCTCTCTTCATATACTAGTTCAGACTCTCAAAAGAGATAATCAGATAAATTACTGGCCAGTCAAAAATAAACTGTCTATAGACTGGTGTGTACCTCTGGTCTAATTGCTGCAGATGTAGGGATGAGTTTCTTATTACAAACATGGGTGGGGAGCAGGTCCTGAAATGGAATGTGCTAACAGCTCAAATCCTGCAAAGTCCAGACAGACTTTAGTTGTTCCTTCTGCCAGTACACCTACTGCTGTTTATACTCTGGTCACTTTTTTTTTTTTTTGTCAATTCTTTTCTGTAGAATGCTGCACTTTATGTTCAGCTTAGTGTATGTATTTATCTGTTAGGTTGGGGTTTATGCCTGGCCACAAGCTCTAGAGATGGTCCAGGGTTCCCTGTGTCTTGACCACAGAAGTGACATAGTTTCTTCTCAGAAGACAATCCTGGAACTGAGAGTTTAGCTTAGTGTTAAAGCACCCAGAAGGCATTTGTGAGGTCCTGGGTTCCATTCCCAATTTAAAAAAAATCAGAAGACAGCCCTTATGCAGTTTATCTGTATAACACAGATAATCAATTACCCCAATACAGTTGGCTAGAAAATTCTCCAACCTTGAGATGACTGGACACATCCTTGTTCACTCTGCACCCATCTAAGGAAACTATTCACATCTAGTGAAGGAGGAAGGAAAGGGAGGAGTATTTCAGCTATCTATTGCTGCATAACAAACCACACGAAAATTAATAGATTGAAGCAATAGCTATTTATTTTATCCACGAGTCTGCATTTTAGGCAGGGTTTGGCAGGAACAACTTAACTGAGTTCCACAGTATGTCCAGAGTCTCAGCTTGGATGACTCAAATGGCTGGGGAACTGGCCAGGAATTATTATACATGAAATCTTAGACTTTTTACATGTAATCTCTCCAGCAAGGAGGCTTTAGGATAGTTGGACTTCACATCTCACGCTCAGGGCTCCAAGAGTGGGTGTTCTAAGAGATCAAAGCAGATGCTGCAAGGCCTCCTGTAGCAAAGCCTCAGAAGCCACACAATGTCACTTCCACTGCATTCTATTGGTCACTCAGCACCTACCCTACTCACAAAGTGAAGAGACTAAATAAGGGAAATGAATACAGTAAGGCACAGATCTTCGAGGTGTTATCTCCTAGGCTGGCTACTGCAATGTGTTGATATTATCTCTCTACCAAAAAAGGAGATTGGAAGGTTTTAAAATTACATAGACAGAAAATTTCTTTTGAGCTAACATTCCTTCTTACTTTTTATTTATTGTTTTTTCTTCTGCAGTACCAGGGGTTGAACCCAGAGCTTCACACATACTAGGTAAGCACTGAGCTACATTTCTAGCCATTTTTTATTTCATTTTGAGACAGGATCTCATTATGTTTCCCAGGCTGTTCTCAAACTTGCAGTCCTCTTGGTTCAGCTTCCTAAATTGCTGGGCTAACAGGCATACATTGTCTCACATTTTAACTTTCAAATAATTCTTCTGGATTTTCTTTTACCACCTTATTGATCAGTTCCAATTATGTTTTAAAATATTGGAAATTTTGTGTAATCAGGTTACAAAGACTGTTTTTTTCTAATTGCACGTATCATAGGGTATCTTATACAATGTTATTAATAGGAGACTCAATTTAGGCCAAATAAAAATTATTTTTTCATCAATGACCTGACTTCCTAATCAGCTTTTTGATTCATCCTGTGTTATTTTTCTTCTTTTTTTTTATTACAATTGGTGAATCTGTCCTCTCATATGAATGTCAATTTACCAAATAGATTAGGATATTATACTGGGCTGTCTGACAATATTCTCATTCATTCTTACAAAAATTATTTTCCCAGACCTTTTTTATTTTTATTTTTAAAATTTTCTTACAAAATTTATAAATATCCCTGTATTCTGGGCATTATACTAGGTGATGAGATGAAAATGGATTAAATGCTCAGTTTAATAGAAGAGATAGATAAAAAAATAAATGATTTCAATACGATGTTAAGGATATAACAACACACACACTGATAATTAGGAAAAGGTATAGCAGATTTCACAAAATAGGAATTATAGGAGATACAGATTTCTAATTCTGATGGGAGCCAGGAGAATAGAAGAGTCGAAAAAAAGCTTCTCAGAAGTGAATGGGTTTTTGTTTTTCTTTTTTCTTTGTTTCTATTTTTTGTAGTTTTTATTTGTTCTACTTAGTTGTACATGACAGCAGAATGCATGTCAATTTATCATACACAAATGTAGCACAACATTTCAATTCTCTGGTTATAGAGACACACCATTCATGCAATCATACATGTACCTAGGATAATGATGTCCATCTCATTCCACCATTTTTCTACCTTCATAACCTCTCCCTGCCCTCCCCTTTGCCCAATCCAATGATCCTCCATTCTTTCCACACCCCCCATCATAGATCAGCATCCACTAATCAGAGAAAACATTCAGCCTTTAGTTTTGGGGGATTGGCTTACTTCACTTAGCATAATATTCTCCATCTCCATCCATTTACCTGAAAATGCCATAATTTTATTCTCTTTTAATGCTGAGTAATATTCCATTGTGTATACATACCACAGTTTCTTTATCCATTCATTTATTGATGAGCATCTAGGTTGGTTCCACAGTTTAGCTATTGTGAATTGAGCTACTATAAACATTGGTGTTGCTATGTGTCTTTGGATATAAACTGAGGAGTGGGATAGCTGGGTCAAATGGTGGTTCCATTCCAAGTTTTCTGAGGAATCCCCACACTGCTTTCCAAAGTGGTTGTACCAATTTGCAGTCCCACCAACAATATGAGTGTACCTTTTTCCCCACATCCTCTCCAACACTTATTATTGCTTGTATTCTTGATAACTGCCATTCTGACTGGAGTGAGATGAAATCTTAGAGTAGTTTTGATCTGCATGTATCTAATTACTAAAGATGTTGAACACTTTTCCATATATTTGTTGATCAATTATATATCTT